TTAAGTTTGGATATGGGTCCAGCAAAATCGACACAATTCAAAAAATTGATATTTTCGATTCGAATCGACTCAAGAAAAATCGACTCGAATTGACTTCGAGTTTTAATTTCATAAACTCGACTCGAATCGAAAAATTTTTAAGTTCAAATTTTACAATTCGAATAACTCAAAAATTTGAGTAATTAGTGGATTGATTTCTAAGTTTGAGTCGAGCCCCTCAAATTTCTATGATATATGTATATCACATATGAAAAAAATATGAATATGAAAAAATATGAAGAAAAATATATGTATTGTATATAGTTATAAAAAAAATCATTTAAATTGAAATCAAATAGTATCATAATATTATAAAATATTTACAATTAAATTTAAACAGAAACTTAAAAACTCGACTCAAATTTTATAAATCCGACTGAACTCAAAACAAATTTCAAGTCAACTTCAAGTTGTAAAATAGAACTCATCAACTTGAATAACCCAAAAAAAATTTTACTCGACTCGATCAAACACTCACCTCTAAATTTAGATACGATAAAAACTTGGCTTAACTCGAGTCATTTACATTCATATACTAAGTTTGGTTACAGCTTTTAAAAAGTCACTTTTAAAAGTATTGTAGAAATAAACTTTTAAAAATATTGTACAAAAGTGTAATTTAAGATTTAATTGTTTGAGATTACTGTTAAAAAGTGAGTTTGAAAAGACAAAATGTTTATTATAGATATTATGTTGTAAATAAAAAATAAAAAATTTAATTACATTTACATTTATATATTAATATCAATTTAAATTATAATAAATTTTAAAAAATATTATTATTATATATAAATATTAATTTAAACTATAACAAAATATAAAGAATACAAATAAAACAATATAATTATAATAAAAATATACTTTAAAATCTCACTATTAGTATTTTAATATATAAATCATAAATTTTATTTAATTTTAAATGATTAAAATAAATTATTAAAATTAGTAAATTTTTTAAGGATGTTAGTATTAAATTGTTAAAATAAAATATAAATACATAATTGAGTGTAACTCCTACATTAGTAAGGATAAAATTATAATTTACTTTCAAATGTAAAGTTGAAAATGAAAAAACTAGAAATATTAACTTTTGTGGTTAGTTTTAAACCACAATTTTTTTCGTATTTTTTTTTACTTTTATCCGTTTGACATTAATTTTCCTGTAAGAACGAACTTTTTTAACTAAAAGTGCTTTTATAAAATTTTACCAAATTAACTCTAAATCTCTTTGGCTTCCAATATGCTAAGTCTATAATAAGAATTAAATGTACAATTTACACGTATGCACAAATGGATGGTAAAATTTAACTTAACATATTTCATATCTATTATTTAGATTAAGACTCAAATTTTTAAATTTTTAAAAAATATACGAAATATAAAGATTAAGTCAACAAGTTTTTTTCAAAATATAAAAAATATTAATTTAAAAATTACACTTAGTGAAATTAAAATACGTTAATTTATTATTCTATAGAAGAATTTAACCTAAACTTAAATAAAATATAATTTTATATTAAACATAGATTCAAATAGAAGTGATTAGAATTCATGAAGCCCCATTCAATGCTCAACCCATCATGCATCTATTAGACTTGAAATGACTTTGGTGTTTTCTTTTTTATTAATCTAGAGTAGATACAAAATAATATACATTTAAAAATACTTTAAGAAATAACAATAATTTCTTTACGTCCCTGAGTTTGGTCCTTGTTGATCAACAAAATAACGCTACTCCAAGAACATAAATTATCCCTCACACTTTAGTATTTCTCCCCTATTATACTAAAACTTTATGTTAATTACCTTGAGATCGTTCCATCAATGAAGAAAAAAACTAAACTTGTGATGCGGGTACAAGAGTATCTCCCTCCCATTACCAAAAAGTGTGTATGCATATTCCCCCATTCCATTGTTCTCTTTTCCATCCCATATAGGGTCCATAATATTTAATTTCATTTGAATACAAAATATTGGTGCTTTATAAAATGGCAAATATTATTGACAACATTAAAGGTTATGAAATCTAGAACTCTCTTTGGGACTTGGTCACTTTAGTTTATCACCCAAAAGTTTCAAAATGGATGCCCATGTCAAATCGATTACACCCAGTAAAAGAATTATACAAAACATACACAATTTACCAATAAAATTTGCAAAACAGTAATGGACATCAATTGTATGAAAAAATATGCACTCGTTTTGGTTCAATCTCTCTTTCCCCGATGAAAATAGCATACAAATGGATAGAATTAGCTATTGATGCTGTAAAATTCTTTGTAAGTGTTAAAGTTGGTTGGTATTTCTTTCTTCTTTTCATTTCATCAAGCTGGAAGAAAAAAAAGAAATATAGCCAAGATCGATTGATCAAGTTTATTAATCACGGCAACCTCATCATCTTATAATCATAAGGATCAAAGATCAAAATAGATATTTTTGAAAGAATTTACACTTTCAATCAAAGGATGATGTACTTCGATGCAAGTTATAAAAATGAAATGAAAAACCCTAATATATGCACAACAAAAGCTACAGTTTCAGCTATATATATGATGATGAACACGGTAGATCTGCTTGATTAAAGCCATCACCATGCCTTTTCTATGTTTCTTGTTGTATCTTAAAGCATAAAATAGTTCAATATGCATCATATGAGCATGGAAGAATTGCAGAAAGTAAGTTAAAAAAGAAGTTCACAGTGAAGTATTGAATTGCAGAAAGTAGAGAGATCTCTTACAGAACATACTGAACCGCTGAAGAACAAATAGAAAACTAACATACTGAACTGCTGAAGAAAAAACAGAAAACTAACATAATGAACTGCGGAACAACACATAGAAAACTAACATAATGAACTGCGGAAGAACACAACCCAAACCATAGAAAACTAAGTAAGAAATTGCCTAGATGGAGCAAATATTTTCGGACCAAGATGCTTTATTCCCCCAAAAGAAGTTGAGAAAAGGTCCATCACTCAGAATAAAAGCTATGTCTTGCTTTTGTTTCTTCGATCAAGTCTTCCCCATCTCTAGTAAAACGTACGTCTTTTAGCCTTTTCGGGTCTTAGCTTCTCCTTGCTTTTTTGGCTAGATGAAATGATGACATGCTTTGAAGAGCGTGGAAGGGTTTTGTGATGAAAAGAAGGTGAGTGGGAACAATGATGGCGAAGGAGAAGATTACCAAACAAAGGAACACTATCATTGCTGTTTGGTTGTGGCGTTGAAACTAAGAAAATTCAAGGTTTTTTACTCTCTCCTCCCAGAGAGAGAGGAGAAAGAGAGAGGTCATCAAAATCCAATGACACCCATTAGCTTAAACATACCATGCTTTAACCCTATTTTTTTTAATATATGATAATATATATTTAAATATTTTTAATCATTTAATAATAAATGTTTATATCTTTAGCATTTATGATACTCAAATCTAAAATTTTAAGGGATAATAATAAATCCTTTAATCATTAAGATTGTATAGTTTTAAATATTACTACTTAAATTTAATAGTGTTTTAAATTTTTTATAATGTCATAAAATATAAGGTTAATTATTGAAATAATACTTAAAAAGATATTATTAGATTTATTTAAATAATATTATTTATCAAGATGATATTTTTTTATGAAAGTGTTATGTGAAAAACGTTTTTTAAAATGTGAATTTTGTAGTAATTTTAAAAATATTATGATACAAATTTATTGATTTTGAATTAACAATAGTAATTTTTAATTTGATCAAAACTTATATCCATACGATGCATAAAAATAATTTAAATATTAAGATCGTAAATGTTCTATAATACAAAAATGATCCTTAACTATTATACTAATATGGATCGATCAATTTAAAAATTATTTTTATCAGGTCAATAAACATAACATTACAAAAAATATGATGTGAATTTTTTTTTTAAAATAACTATGTCACCGCTTTAAAACTATCATCTGATGAAAGAAATTGTATTGATTGTGACATATTTTTGGTTAAAAAATTATCAAGTATTATATTATATTAGAATTTTAAATGAAAATAATTAATAAAGTAAATTAGTTATATTTAATCTCATTTATAAAATTAAAAAACCTATCATTAATTTATTAACCCAATAATATAAAATAGTATTTTTATATATGTTTCATGGTCACAGTAAAAAAGTTAATTGTTGAGGGAAGCCTCACTGTGACAGCCTAATATATGGTTAAATAAATGTATTATGAAAATTTTATTATTTTATAATATTTCTCGTAAAAAATTATCTAAAAAATTATTTTTATTCTATTGAAAATATTATTATTGGACGTTTTACCGAGTTTGTTAATATATATGGTAAAATTTATTTAAAATATTATTTTTTCTACAAAAAAAAGTTAATATTAAGCACTTTACTAAAAATATTAAAAAATATTAATATTTTAAATAAAAAAATGATATTTAAAGTAATTTTATCAAAAATATTAAAAAATTATAATATTTTTCGATAATGTATTTTTTAATCATATATTAAAACTGACGTCTTGTAAAACTTCTCTTTTAGTGTCTGTTAAAAGTGGACTGACGTCTCGAAAATGTATGATAATCATTATTATTCCTGACGTTGTTCAAATCATATGTAATTAATATTTCTCACTTTCAGCCCTTAGCTGTAAAGTCTAGTTTTGGACAGGAACCAGGAATTTCGTGTCCCTTTTGTTATTATTATATTGACACCACACTGAATTTCAAGATACTGCAACTACACACCTCCAGATGTGATTGTTGTCAGACTCCATTGCTTTTGCTTTGATATTTTATTCTAGTTTTCATTAATAGTATTTAACTCGAAACAATGCCTCAAGTGATCATGCAAAGGGAACAATTATTATATTACTCGACAACCATTTTATTGCTTCGGAATTCGCCATGAACCCTAAACAATAACAACTGCGTTTGATTTATTTACAAGTTCAAATCGTTAATCACACTTTACAATTATAACCATGTATGATAATGGAGTTGGGCCTCGCATTTCGCCCTTTCACTTATCAGTGGCAAATTTGTTCCTGTTCATGGCAAACACCCCATATCAAATAATAAGCTAAGGCGGTAAGGCCTGTGATTATTTGACCGTAAAAAGCAAAGCTTTGATACTCACGTTTGGTATTTGAGGTATTCATCAACTGTGAGAGATTTAGGTCCACCAAACCAGTTAATCATAAAGATGTCTTCGATCGCCAATTTGAAAATCCGAAAATCATAACCCTTAGGCCACCCTGTACACTCCAACCATTGCGAAAGTATAATAAACGTAAGTTACTCGGACTCGAGCGTGTTCATATGCACCTCAGGTCAAATGAAATAAAGGCAAACAACAGCAGCAGTTATTTAGGCTAAGACTTACCCTTCATCTCAGGATGCTTTGTGAACAACGCAGTTTGACCAAATTCGGCCTCTTTAGAGTTTGCTTCAACTAGTACCAACTAAAAACACCAAATGTCACATGATAAGCTCAATGAGGATGACAGAAAACTGGATTTAGCAACGTACCTTTCCCGTGAGTGTGATTTTTGCACATGCAGGACTTTCTGGGTCGACATTGCCACAAGTTCCGAGCGGATACTCACTGATTATAAGTGAGAACCGCTGGTCTTTTAATGCATTTCTTGCTGTTGGATCAAGGGTTGTCAAATAGAAATATGGGACACCGGTGCTTTTGCTGGGTACCCCATCACTAAACGAGACAACATTCCTGCAGCACATGTTAAGTTCTTGACATGTTCATACAAGTAGCTTCGAATACCCAATGTCTATTATGAAAATGAGAAACCTACTGCATGATTTTGAGTCAGAATATTGCAGATACACATAATTGTTGGGGAAAATGGGTTATTTCCCACACGAACGTAGTTTTAAAATTGACCTAAAATGTCAAGATTAAAACCATCAAAGGTTGCACAGCGGATAAACCTGTCAAACTATTGAATATTGAAACACAATGGAAAAGAACCGAATAAAAAACAATAAAGGAGAGAACACACCAAATTTACGAGGTTCGACGAGAATATCGTCTACTCCTCGGGCACCACACCGGATGATAACTTCACTATATCGCCAATATTACAACAAATGGAATTCTTTGGAATTCTCAAAGTGGGAGAATGAAGAATACAAGAGGAAGAGAGAACTTTTTTTTGGGATGATTTCTAATGGAAATACTTAGGCCTACTTATAGTTGAGTTTCAAGAACAATATGTTCAAAGTTTGGCCACCTACCAAAGAATTTTCCAATGTGTACAAGTTAGCCACCAAATATGAAATTCACATGTTCAAAGTTTGACCACCAATCAAGATGAAATTTCCAATAAGTTGGCCACCAACCAAGATGAAATTTCCAACTTGTCAACTTAATTTCTAGACAAATCTAACAAATCTCCACCTTGGCTTGAAATTACCAAGCCTACTCAACTTCTTCAACTCCCCAAATTTGTAGTGCCTCTAATTGCGCTCACAAGCGCCACACACCCGAAGGTGTTCATACTTTCAGGATGTTAATCAAGTTCAAACAATGATTGAACTTGATTACTGTTACCACCTTGGTCATCATATCCGCAAGATTTTCTGATGTCACAATTTTCTGAAGTAGAATCTTTCATTCTTCAAAGATCTCCCGCACAAAGTGATACCTCACGTCGATATGCTTAGTCCTTGAATAGTAGACTTGATTTTTTGCTAAGTGAATAGCGCTCTGACTATCACAATAGAGACTAATGTGACTTTGAACAACTCCCAAGTCTTCCATCAACCCGTTAAGCCAAATTGCTTCCTTTACAGCCTCTAAAACTGCCATGTATTCTGCTTCTGTAGTAGACAAGGCCACCGTAGATTGCAATGTAGACTTCCAACTTACTGGGGCTTTAGAAAGAGTAAACAAATACCCAGTAGTTGATCGACGCTTATCCAAATCACCAGCATAATCGGAATCAACATATCCAACCATACACTGACCAAGTGCTTCATCATATTCAAAAACTAAACCAACATCCACGGTTTGTTGGAGATACCGTAGAATCCATTTCACAGCTTGCCAATGTCCTTCTCCAGGATCATGCATGTACCTACTCACAACTCCAACTGCTTGTGAAATGTCAGGACGCGTACACACCATTGCATACATCAAGCTCCCAACTGCATTAGCATATGGAACTTTTGCCATATACACTCGTTCTTCGTTAGTTTTAGGAGATAATTGAGAACTAAGTTTCAAATGAGAAGCCAATGGGATACTTGCATGTTTGGTATTTTCATTCATGCCAAAACATTGTAATACCTTTCTCAGATACTGCTTCTGTGTTAAACAAAGCTTCCCTCCCTGTCTATCTCTGCTTATCTCCATACCAAGAATCTTCTTGGCCTCACCTAGATCTTTCATCTCAAACTCTTGATTCAACTGAGCCTTTAATTTGTCTATCTCCTTTTGACTCTTCGAAGCGATCAACATATCGTCAACGTACAAGAGAAGATAAATGAAAGATCCATCTTTGAGCTTTTGCAAATACACACAATGATCATATTTGCTTCTATTATACTTTTGCCTCCTCATAAAGCTATCAAATCGCTTGTACCATTGTCTCGGAGATTGCTTCAATCCATATAGCGATTTGTTCAGCTTACAAACCCATTTCTCACAACCACCATCTTTGTATCCTTCTGGCTGTGTCATATAGATATCCTCTTCTAAATCACCGTGCAAGAAAGCCGTCTTTACATCAAGTTGAGCTAGCTCCAAATTCAACTGTGCTACCAAGGCCAACAATATTCTAATGGAGGAATGTTTCACAACAGGGGAAAATACTTCATTGTAGTCGATTCCCTCCTTTTGAGCGTAGCCTTTAGCTACTAACCGTGCCTTGTAGTGAACATCTTTCTTGTTATGAGATCCATCTTTTTTTTACAAATACCCACTTGTATCCAATGGCTCTTTTACCTTTCGGTAATTGTGCCAGTTTCCAAGTGTCGTTCTTTTGGAGATATTGCATTTCTTCATCCATGGCACTTTTCCACTTATCACTTTCCAAGCTTTGTATTGCTTCTTGGTAAGTGATAAGGATATCATCATCAACAACTGGAAGAGCATAAGCCACCATATCAACAAATCGAGCAGGTCTACGAATTTCTCTCATTGTCCTTGTAACTGCAAGTGTTTCTGGTGTCTCCAATGGTTCTTGGGTTTGAACCTCTTCATCTTCTGATTCTTCTATTAGAGTTGAAGAATCAGCTGCATCAACTTCTAGGATCATCATCTGCTGAAACTCCACCTGTTTTGGAGTATGCTCCACCTGCTGCGGAGTACTACTTGTCTGGACAGCTTCATTTGTTACCTTCTTTACTAGGGCAGATTCATCAAAGGTAACATCTCTGCTACAAATTACCTTCTTGGTGTCTAAACACCAAAGGCGGAATCCCTTCACTCCATGGGTGATTCCCATAAAGAGAGCCTTCTTTGCTCTCAGATCAAGCTTGGATTCCTTCACATGATAATAAGTAGTGGATCCAAATACATGTAAGGAATCATAATTAGTAGTAGGTTTTCCAGACTATACCTCCAATGGTGTTTTTCCTCCTATTGCTGATGACGACAGACGATTAATGAGATGGCCAGCATATGTCACAGCCTCAGCCCAAAATGCCTTGCCTAACCCAACATTAGACAACATACATCGAACTTTCTCCAATAGTGTTCGATTCATACGCTCTGCCACCCCATTCTGTTGTGGTGTATGTCTAACAGTGAAGTGTCGAATAATACCATACTCATGGCAAACGTCAAAGAATGGGTCACTTTTATATTCCCCTCCATTGTTCGTCCTAAGACGTTTGATCTTTCTACCAGTCTGGTTCTCGATCATATTTTCCATTTCAGGAAAATTTGAAGCACTTCATCTTTAGACTTCATCGGATACACCCAAAATCTTCTGGAAAAGTCATCTACAAAAGCTACAAAATAATGGTTTCCTCCCAAAGACGATGTCTTTGAAGGACCCCATACATCTGAGTGAATATAATCTACAATACCTTTTGTATTATGTATAATGGTACCAAACTTCACTCTCTTCTGCTTTCCCAGAACACAATGCTCGCAAAAGTTCAATTTGCAAGCCTTTGCACCTTTCAACAATCATTTCTTTGCTAGAATTTGCAAGGATTTCTCTCCAGCATGTCCTAACTGCATATGCCACAACTGGGTTACGTCCAAATCATCACCTCCGGAAGCTGCTGCAACTGCTCCAATAATTATACTACCTTGGTAGTAATAAAAATTATTTTTCCTGATGCCCTTCATCATCACAAGTGCGCCATATGTGACTTTTAAAACTCCATCTCTCATAGTGACTACTGAGCCTTTGGATTCTAAGGCTCCCAAACGAGATGAGATTTTTCTTCAAACTGGGCACGTATCGGACATCCGTCAGAACTCTGGTTGATCCATCTTGATTCTTCAATCGAATTGAACCTATCCCAACAGTTTTACAGGCATTGTCATTGCCCATATAAACAACTCCTGCATTTAGTTCCACTAAATCGGAGAACCACTCCCGATTAGGGGACATATGATAGGTGCAACCCGAATCTAATATCCACTCATCGGAATGGAATGTTGTTGATGAAGCAACCAATGATATGTCAGAGTCATGTGCATCATGCTCTGCAACACATGCATCTGGAGCAGCTTTTCCTTTCTTCTTCAGCTTCGGTCAATCTTTCTTCCAATGGCCTTTCTCATGACAAAAGGCACATTCATCTTTTCCCAGTCTGGACTTCGACTTTGATCTCCCTCTCCACTTTGGCTTTTGACTTTTCAAGCGACCTCTTGCCACCATGGCCTCTGCTGCTTCGTACTTGCTCTCCCTCTTGGTTTTCTTCCTGAGTTCATAACTATACAAAACAGCAGTTACATCTTTAAGGGTAACATTATCCTTACCATGAAGTAACATTGTCTCAAGGTGCTCAAATTCATCTGGAAGAGATGACAACAACATCAAAGCCAAATCTTCATCTTTGAAGGTTTCATCCATGCCCAATAAGTCTTCCACTAGCTCATTGAACGCAGTGATGTGTTCATTCATACTAGTGCCTGGTTGATAATCAAATCTGAACAATCTTTTCTTCATGTGGAGACGATTCTGAGAGCTTTTCTTCAGGAATTTTTCCTCCAAAGCTTTCCACATCTTACTTGCAGAAGTTTCGTTCTTGTAGCCATACTTCTGCTCCCTGGAAAGACAAGATCGAATCGTGATGCACGCCAAACGATTGACTTTCCCCATTCTTTCTCCTCCATATATTCGAGCTTTTCTTCCTCAATGGCGATGTCTAGACCTTGTTGGAATAAAACGTCTAACACCTCGCCTTGCCACATGCCAAAATGACCGGATCCATTGAACAACTCTACCGAGAAATTTGCATTTGACATCACCCTCCTCACCGGTCCAGATGAAGAGCTTGATGTCTCAACTGATCCGTATTTTGGCATTTTAATTCTAACGAACAATATTCAATATCACGAACTATATCTTTTCAGCAACGGAACCACCAGGATAACCTCAACCGAAGCTCTGATGCCAATTGTTGGGGAAAACGTGTTATTTCCCACACGAACGTAGTTTTAAAATTGACCTAAAATGTCATGATTAAAACCACCAAAGGTTGCACAGTGGATAAACCTGTCAAACTATTGAATATTGAAACACAATGGAAAAGAACCAAATAAAAAACAATAAAGGAGAGAACACACCAAATTTACGAGGTTCGACGAGAATAATAAAAAACAATAAAGGAGAGAACACACCAAATTTACGAGGTTCGACGAGAATATCGTCTACTCCTCGGGAACCACACCGGATGATAACTTCATTATATCGCCAATATTACAACAAATGGAATTCTTTGGAATTCCCAAAGTGGAAGAATGAAGAATACAAGAGGAAGAAAGAACTTGTTTTTGAGATGATTTCTAATGGAAATACTTAGGCCTACTTATAGTTGAGTTTCAAGAACAATATGTTCAAAGTTTGGCCACCTACCAAAGAATTTTCCAATGTATACAAGTTAGCCACTAAATATGAAATTCACATGTTCAAAGTTTGGCCACCAATCAAGATAAAATTTCCAATAAGTTGACCACCAACCAAGATGAAATTTCTAACTTGTCAACTTAATTTTTAGACAAATCTAACAGTCAAATAGAAATATGGGACACCGGTGCTTTTGCTGGGTACCCCATCACTAAACGAGACAACATTCCTGCAGCACATGTTAAGTTCTTGACATGTTCATACATGTAGCTTCGAATACCCAATGTCTATTATGAAAATGAGAAACCTACTGCATGATTTTGAGTCAGAATATTGCAGATACACTTATTAGAAGAAAATGTAAATATAAATGCATGTGAAATTTCAAATACAGGTATATAACTAACTTCAATTTCTGGACTCTGGGTTTAAAACATTTGTAATTCTCGTGAACATTATCCGATGATCAGATCTCGTCAAACTCTAATCCATACCAGTAAAACCACAGATTTGAAATAAGTTTCAGATTATCCATGACCATTTTTCTCTCTGTAGTTAACTTCTCTAATCTTGAACACAATAAAAAATAATCAATGCCTATGTTATTCCAACTATTCCTTTCACCTGAAGTACTGTGTCCAACATATATTCGACACCGGTAATGTATGTGTGATCCTCCAAATATATGAAATGCCGCAGGTATACACCTATATACGACACTCACACCAAGTCCAAATAACAGAAATTACCACACCAAATATCCCAAAAACAAGCATAAGCAAAGAATGAAACAATGTATTGGGCTTAAACATGAAAACTAACTTCGTTACCAATAAATGAATAAACATATTCAATATGTATGTGTGTGTGCGCATATGAGAAAAACTTACCCAAATGGCGACCCTTCCAATTCAATTGATATTGTACTGCAAAATCAAAATGACAAATAAGGCAAACCCAAAACACCATTCTTTTCTCAACTTATACAATAATAATAATTCAACAACAGATACTATCAATGGAACAACATAAGTTCTGCTTCTTTCTAATTAATTTTTAAATATATCTTTAAAAACATGTGTTATTTGGCCTAGGTTTAGATACTTATTCAACGATTAATCTTGAGAAAAAAAGAAGCCAAAGCTTCATCTTCTGCTAATTGAAATTCGAACTTCAAAAATATCAATCAATTGGGTAATCTAATCAAACAATTAAAGAAGAAGAAAACAAAACACAGAATCCAAATTACAAATTACAATCCCAAACCAAGTATCATTTGCTTTTGTAAAATAATGAAAGTAAAAGAATCAAAAGAGAAAGAAAAAAGATTTACTTTAAAATCCCCCAAGAATTCTGAGACACCAACCAACGAGCATAGGCAGCATTAGCCTCTCTATCAGGTTTGGGTTCAGCTAATAACCTTCCATCAACACATCCTTGAAACCCCAAGAAAAACAAGACCAAAACACAGTAAAAAAACCTTTGATTTCCATTTTTTTTTTGTATTTCTTTATGACTGTTTTTCGACACAAGTAGATGAATATGAAGACGACTCGACAGTATCTGTATTTATATAGAAAGTTTGGGACTTTGAAAACGAGTATGGGCAAAGGCAACGAATTTATCGCTAGAAGATAGGGGGTGTTTTAATCCTATGTTGTCGAGCGCACGATATGAAACAGTGTTGTTGCTTCTTATGATTGTACCTTTTGTCAAAGCCGCCAACTTTGCCCAACATTTACAATCCTAAATACCCCTACTTATGGTGGAACAAGGTAATACAGTGCACTGAAATTTACAAGATTGAGCTCTTGAATTTGAGATAGAATTCAGGGTCCCAAAAAGGCTATCAACAACCCCGGTCCTATCTCCTGACATTGGATCTTCACTTTTTAATTTCTTTAGTTTTTTAATGGGACTAAATTATTTTATATCGGTAAAGGCATCAAAGGTTTTGATAGGAGATGGATCATCTTCATGGTTAAAACGGAGCTTTGTCCCCAATATTGTTCTTTTAATACATATTATGTAACTTTGTCTCTTACCATATTATATAATTTTTATTAATATGTAACGATTATTAGATAATATCTATTTACAATTTTCTAAATCAGTTAACAATTCAAATACATAATTTTAAAAAATAATTGTTTTTTATCACTTAAATCGTTTAATGGATTTGACATACTGCTCTATTATTTGATTAATTGAGGTTTAATCTTCACTAACTGATGCCCAAATCCATGGATCTTCTAATTTTATAATATATTATTTTATATATTATATCATATATATATATAGCCTAAAGAATGTTTTATATAGTATGTCATTTATATCACTCTAGTCCAAAATATTATAATTTTAAGTTCTAGTCATCTTTACCCGATCATATGTGAATTTTATAGTTTGAGACCTACATTTTGAATGGCTTAAGCAAACATGTAGGATTTTTCTCTTTACCTTGCCTCATTTGAATCTATGGTTGAAGAAACCGGACGGGAACTATTTGCGGTTTAATCGATTTTATCCAAATGGTATGATCACTTTAAAAATATATAATTAATAATTTTATTAAAGAGAGAAAATGTTTAAAAATAATAATAAATATTTGTTTGGAGGGATGGTTCTTTTGAATGAATAAAACAAATTTATCAAAAAAATAAATAATAAATAATAACAAATAATATATTTTTTAATTCTTAAATTCAAATATTGATTGATTTCTTAATTTTCTGATTCGATCCATATAATTGGACCGACAAACCAACTGAATCCCAATGTGGTTTAATTTGACATGTTTTCTACGACATTATTTAAATCATATGGCTATGGAGAAGGAAACATCCTTGTCAGAAAAAAAGACCTAAACTTGTTAAGCCAAGTCCGGGGTCTTTCATATGCATGCATAATTTGAATTTCTTCCTTTTAAATGTCAATGACTCGTGTTGGTTTCGCGTCCAAATAATTTATTCTTCTCAAATAATAAATAAAAGATATTAAATGTAGTAAAAGAAAAATAAGGGTCGATCTTAGAGGGACTAGGAAACTTCCTGATTTATGCTTGTTTAATCTATGAGCCAAGAAGTAAGTTAAATAATATTTAAGGTGATGATTTGTGGATGAAAAGAGTGAAATAAAATAAAAGTAAGAAAATAAGAGATTATAAAGAGGATTAAAAAGAAATAGATTCAATAAGGTATAAATCAGCCTTAAGCTTTTGCTTTGACTCGATTTCCTTGGATCATCGAAAAAGGTTTTTTTACTTCGTGATTCACGTCGGTTACTTGTCTACAAGGACCAATCCTTGTGACTATGCTTTTTATACCAATTTTGGAAAATTGACCTAATAAACAACTATATTGTAGATCAAAAAACGTTTAAGTTCGTAAAAGATCAACTCTGATTATGTTGTTTCAATAATAATTGATGACGATCTCAGTTTCCTCTTAGCGAACAATTTTGTTAAGTGTATTCCTAGGAAGTCGAATGTTCTTTCAATAAGTGTATTCCCAAGTGCAACATTTGATATCGATTTTCGAAAATTGACCTAATAAACAACTATGTTGTAGATCAAAAAACGTTTATGTTAGTAAAAGACCGACTCTGATTATGTTGTTTCAATAATAATTGATTTCGATCTCAGTTTCCTCTTAGCGAACAATATTGCTAAGTTTGTTCCCATGAAGTTGAATGTGCTTTCAATAAGTTGATCCTCCCCCCCCCCCACACATTTAACCATAACAACATCTTGATCAATGCCAATCTTTGGTTTTGAAATTGTTTTGATTTTGAAAATAAGCTCAAAGAAACTAAGAAAGATATCCAAAGTTGTTTAAGTGCTTTTCAATTCTCACATTGGAATTGAGTTATCACTTTGGCCCTCGGCTTGAAAGAAAATTAGCTAAGTATGACAGAAGTCATACTTAGCATTAAAAAGAAAACTTTGAAGAAAAATAAAGAGAAAGAGCGAAATTAAAAGAAAAATAACTTTATAAAACTAAAGAAGAAATATAATGATTCGACAGATGAGCTATGATTATGGATGATGGATTTCAAGCTTACCTCGATGGGGTATTTATAGTCTCTAAAAAACCCTAAAATTACATTAAAAATCATAAAAGATAATTATTGAAATTAAATCCTAAAAGTAAAGTTAAATCCCGAATTTAATTTCAAATTTACGGTTTAGTCTTTTGCTTCCACGAAAAATACTGACTGGACATTCTAGAAGATGCTGACTGGATTCCACGTCAACACATTCATGCTTAGTTTCATGCCCACTAGGTTGCCCATGATTCTGGACTAATAAAAAAATTCGTCTTTTAAGCGCATTTTCTAGAAGTCGTTGTTTTGCACAGAAATCACGTAAAAATGTCAAAATCAACAATAATAATGAATAATCAAGGAGTACTTAAACACAAAATATAGTACAAAATAAATACTAGTCAGTCAACTAAACTCCCGTAAAGCTTTTTTTGGGGTATAGTTTGAAGAATTCATCAAGAAATGGTTTTTTTAAGTGTAATATGTGCAATTGTAATAAAATCACACTTGATTTGAAAAAGATTATTTTTATGGATCCTTTTTCATTATGATCCCAATCTATTAGAAAATTTTACGTCATTAATTATCTTTGATATATTAATATTATATTTTTCAAATCATCAACTTCTTCAATAGAACAAAAGAAAACATATTTTCTCTTTCAGACAAAACAAAGCCTTAGTTTGAAGATCGACCCTTTGTGCTCTAATGATTTGATCATTTGAAATCTCAGGCCTTTCAATACTTTTGAATCACCTTACAAACTCTGAAAGATAGCAATGTTAGAAATGAGTCATTTGAAGTTATTTAATTGCTTTTCAATTCTCACGTTGAAATTGAGTCATTGCTTTGGCCCTCAGCTTGAAAGAAAATTAGCTAAGCATGACAGAAATCATGCTTAGCATTAAAAAGAAAACTTTAAAGAAAAATAAAGAAAAATAAAGAAAAAGAGTGAAAGTAAAATAAAAATAACTTTATAAAACTAAAGAAGAAATAAAAGGATTCGGGAGTTGAGAATGATTATGGATGATGAATTTCAGGCTTACCCTGATGGGGTACTTATAGTCTCTGAAAAAACCCTAAAATTATATTAAAACCCTAAAAGATAATTCTTGAAATTAAATCCTAAAAATAAAGATAAATCTTGAATTTAAATTTGTGGTTTAGTCTTCTACTTCTACGAAAATGCTGATTGGACCTTCTAGAAGAAACTGACTGGATTCCACGTCAGCGCTTTCATGCATAATTTCATTCCTACTAGGTCGACTATGATTCTGGAAAAATAAAAAAGGGTGTAGAACTTCGTATTTTAAGAAACGTTTTCAGAAGTCATTATTTTGCACAGAAATCACATAAAAATACCAAAATCAACCATAATAATGAACAATCAATGAATGTTTAAACACAAAATAAACACTAGTCAAATTCCCCCTTACTTATCCAATGCTTGTCCTCAAGCATTTCTCAACCAACATGCCAAAATCATAAGTTTCCATTCTCCAATTTAGTTCGTGCTCTAATCATCCCAATGAACCAAAATCAATGCAAATAATTAAAACTAGAAACAATCAAGCAAGTGGCAAAGCTAGGAAATAAGTTAAAGCAAAACAAGACATTCCAATAACTCACTAATCTCATGATGCAAAGTTAAACACCCTCACAAAAGATTCACTAATTCCGTTTAAAGTGTTTAAGGACAAAGAAACGCTCAAGCCGAAACAAGTTAAAACATTACCATAAGCTTGTAATTAAATCCAATCTCCACTACTTAAAAATAAATATGATGCAAAAGTCAAGAGGTCTTTAAACCTGATTGTAACGTGGCTAAGGTATGGGTAGGATAAAGGCCAAAAATCGGGTCTAAGTTTCAGGATAAAGAGAATATCATTCCACAATTTATTCTAAAGGAAGCAAGCGAATAAAAACAACAAACTCTCTTTTAATACATATTATATAACTTTGTCTCTTACCATATTATATAATTTTTATTAATCTGCAACGATTATTAGATAATATCTATTTACAATTTTCTAAATCAGTTAACAATTCAAATACATAATCTTAAAAAATATTATTTTTTATCACTTAAAACGTTTAATGGATTTGACATACTGCTCCATTATCTGACTAATTAAGGTTTAATCTTCACTAACCGATGCCCAAATCAGACTTGACTCTGTCCATGGATCTTCTAAATATTATATTATATTATATTATATATATATTATATTATATTATATTATATTATATTATATTATATTATATTATATTATATTATATTATATTATATTATATTATATTATATTATATTATATTATATATATATATATATATATATATATATATATATATAGCATAAAGGCTGTTTTATATAGTTTGTCATTTATATCACTCTAGTCCTAACTATTATAATTTTAAGCTCTAGTCATCTTTACCCGATCATATGTGAATTTCATAGTTTGAGACCTACATTTTGAATGGCTTAAGCAAACATGTAGGATTTTTCTCTTTACCTTACCTCATTTGAATTTATGGTTGAACAAACCGGGCGGGAACTATTCGTGGTTCAATCGATTTTATCCAAAT